GGAAGCCTGCTTCTCCCTCTCCCACTCCCCCTGCTTGTGTTCTCTCTCTCGCTGTATCTCTCTGTCAAATAAATAAATAAAATCTTAAAAAATAAAATAAAGTCACACAGATCTGTGCTTAAATCCTGGCTATGTCTCGCTTCCTGTGTAATTTTGGTAAGTTACTTAAGTTCTCTAAAGCTCATATTTTTATCTTTAAAAGGGGGGAAGTAATTATACTTGTTTTAGAGTTACTGTGAGAAAATATATACATCACACAGCACTGAGCTTTATGCATAGTGAGTACTCAATTTACACTTGCTCTTTTAACATTATGTGAATTAATGAAAACGTTTGCCTGGTTTGCTTCATCTTGTCCTAGCGGCCTACGGCACTCTCTTGGAAAACCAGTGAGGCCAAAACAAAGACTCATCACATGTTGAAAACTGTTTAATTTAGGAAAGTATGAAGTGGGTTCACATTGCCTTAAAAAGGGCAAAAGAACACTAAAGGGTAGATTGTCACCATAGTTTACAGTCTTTAGGTTCATGAAAGGATACTCAGAAGAAGAGACCATGGAAGGAAAAGAAGAATGAATAAACATTCCAGACAATTGGAATAGCATGTGAGAAGTCCCTGAAATGAGCTGAAGCATGGTAGGTGTGGGGAACTGAACTTAGCCTCGTTTGAACGGAGATATTAATGAGGGGATGGAGAGAAGTGAAGATCAAGAGGAAAGCAGGGCCGTTTCTTGTATGGCCTTGTAAGTCCTGTTAAACAGTGGTCATTTGAATTATCCTTCCTGATCATGTATTTATAATGTATGTATTAGATTAAGAATCTTAGGATGTAGACAGTGCAGAATTCGCAAATTACAGCTGCCCCATATGGTAACAGAGGCCAGGTTTCCACAGAATACAGGTAAAGTGCCATCTCAGTTCCATACATGATGTCGCATGAAGGAATGCTCTACTTCAAGTGAATTATTGATTTTTAGGGAGTTCCCCTCGAGAGGATCCTGGAGGTGTCTGGATAAAAGGCCAGCCTAAAGCTGTTACTGCCAATTCAGCCCCATTCAGCAATGGTTTTGAAGATGAAAATTCCTAATGCTGCACTGCAGGAAGAGGAGACTAAAAGGGAATTGCGCGCTCTTACTTTGTGAGAGAATCTTCCCATTGTCCTACTTCAGGTATTGGCAGCAAGATCTAAATGAGATATCCCAAGGATGAGAAAGAAACCACCAAAACTGCCAAAGAAACGGGCCTCGGTGGGGCGAGGGGTTCTGCATGGAGTCAGCTGGTCTGGGGTGAAACCTCACTCTCCAACTAAGTTACCTGACTGTGTAATCTCTTTGACCCTTAATTACCTCATTTATGAAATGGGTACGGTATTACCTTGATCATGAAACTGTTGGCAGGAGAGCTCTACCCTAGTGCCTGGCATGTAGTGAGACCTCAAGAAATCCTAGTCATTATGAGTAGTTTTCATCTTACACCTTTTTGTGAACATGTGATCATTTGACTCTCACAACTCTGGTAAAGTGAATACTGTAGAATCAGAAAGCCATACTCAGCAAACTCACCTGGCATTTCTTTAAATTATTCTTTTTTTTTTTTTTAAGATTTTATTTATTTGAGAGAGAGAGCACAAGCAGGGGAAGCGGCAGGCAGAGGGAGAGGGAGAAGCAGGCTCCCCATGGAGCAGGGAGGCTGATGTGGGGCTCCATCTCAGGACCCCAGGATCATGACCCGAGCCAAGCCACCCAGGCGCCCTAGAATTCATTTATTTCTTGAAGTCATTTGTGTTAGTTTACCAGGGCTGCCTGGTAACAAAATACCACATAACAAAATTCCTATAACAAAATACCACAGATTAAGTGGCTTAACCAACAACAAATATTACTGTCTGACAGTTCTGGAGGCTAGAAATCTAAGATCAAGGGGTTGGCAGGGTTGGTTCCTTCTGGGGCCTCTCTCCTTGGCTTGTAGATGGTCGCCTTCTCGCTCTGTTCTCACATGAGTTTCCTCTGTGTGTGCACGTCTGTGTCATGATCTCTTCTTATAAAGACACCAGTCACAACGGACGAAGGCCCACCCACATGGACCTTATTTTACTTTAATTACCTCTTTCCAGGCCCCCATCTCCAAATACAGTCACATTCTGAGGAACTGGGGATGAGGACTTCAACATATGAATTTTGGACGCAGGATGGGGGGGGGGCACAATTCAGCCCACTATAGCATTTTTTCAAAAAAAGCCCTTTTCAATGGAAATGCAAAGGTAGAAAAAGAAATAGTACAATAGATCCCACATACTCATCACTCAGCTTCAGTAATTATCAACTCTTTGCCAATCCTTTTGCATTCACACCCACACCCTCCTCTTTCCTTCTGTATTTCTTTTTTTTTTAAATTTATTT